AGGGGGTCCGGATCCCCCCCTTGCTCGCGCAGAAAACGCATCTAAGGGGGTCTAATTTCAAAAAATTTGTGGGGGAGGGCCCCCCAGACCCCCCCTTCGCGTGCTCGCAAGTTTGGGTTACGGTTAGACCCCCCCCCTTGGTACAAAACCTGTACACGCCCCTGTTACCTGGACCTGGGATAGTAGCTGTAGTTTAGAAGTATTGGCATCCTAATCTGAGGAACAACCAAAAACTCAACATTCAATTTTTTTTCTTAATTTTTTTCATTGGCGTCAGAAGTTGGAAGGGGCGCAATTTTAGCACTTGCCCCGGGCGCTGTTTTTCCTAGATACGCCTCTGATTAGAGGTCAGTCTGAACGTTGTAATTATAATTTATAAGTTGTTAACACCCTCAAGTGTGCCTACCTTTCCGCCGGGAAACAGCATCATCGACAAATGATGGTTTTATATGGATTGAATTTCAACACTTAATTTTTCGATTTTTCGATGAAAGTGGTTCAGCTTGTAGGCTACATCACTCATTTTTGGGCGATCCCCCTATTATTTGCAAGAATCTTCTTCTTCTTTACCTTTTCTTGCAAATGATGGGGGGGGGTGACCCCCCACCCCACCCATCATTTGCAAGACATTTGCAAGATGTTTCTTTTTCTTTCTTTTTTTCTTCTTCTTCTTCTTCTTTTCCTTTTTCTTTTTCTTTTCTTTTTCTTTTTCTTCTTCTTCTTTTCTTTTTCTTGCAAATGATAGGGGGGGCGACCGCTCCCCCCCCCTGCCCCCCTGCGTATAATGCAATTAGTTACTAAGCACGAAATACTTCCGTTTCAAAATCCTGACTGCAGGCTGTAACAACAAGCTAGAGACGGATTCGGAAGCTGCACACCTACGTGGTTAGTTACTTTGTCATATCTATGCACCATAACCTTCACACGGAGTAACGCACCAGCGGCTGTTGTCTGTAGTACGTGAACCTGACACTTAACACTTGGTAATGGAGGGAACGAAACGGATGCTGCTAGTCGCACGAATACTGCATAAGATTATCACAGGTTACCAAGGCCTGCTCTATCGACATAAAGGACTTGATGATAAATAAAGTACAGCCCCGCTCTGCATCAAGAAATCGGCGACCAATATACACGGCTTAGATATGAACCACTCTCGACTATGTGAAAAAACCGTGGGCGTGGTTTGAAAGAAATTACTACGAAACAGAGATGGCGACGTACAACTGAGTTGAAATTACGAACATTTGGGTCTTGGGTGTATTATATGTTCTTGCGAAAAAATACGTCATAACTTACAGATAACTAAGGCAATTCAATTTGAACACAAAGCCAATATTACAATTATACAACAATTTATTGTGTTGCAATAAAACAATACATGGCAAATTACAAAATCAATCTTCCTGCTTTATCCTGGCTTTCTCATCGGCAGTGCTTACATGGCCTTGGTTTTAATAATAATTCCTGACATGTTTAAAACGACACAACTTTCGCAATTCACACAGAATTGATAGGAGACAAACCACAGCTTTTATGCGAGACAAATTAATACGATTTTCATGCCTCAGCGGCATAACAAGCTGTAAATCACACATTCACATCGTACATTAGCAATGATGCGTAGCAATCGAAGGCCATTTTAAATCGATAAAAATTATTAGTTGTACTATTGCATATGTACTCGGACTCATGAGAAACGCTGACATTTACAGAAATATAATATAAATATAACTGATATACATCGCATTGAGCCAAGTATACAATTTATAACAACAAGAAAACCATGATAAACAGTCGAATATAAGCATTAAAATTGACCAATGAACCTGCGTCATGACCATGAGCATATGTATACTTATATAGTATAAATTTATATGTTTATGACATGATTTCTGTTAAAACACAGTTTAAATACTCATAAAATCTTTTCCCGGTCAAAGCAAAGGCGCTGGTTGCACGAATAAATTATATACATGACTGAGCTCACAAATCGAATACGAATGATGTTTAGCTTCTATTTCTACGCCTACCATCTCATCAACTATAGACGACGTAAACATCTAACATACAGATTATTGACATAATCTCACATGGACCGTGTAAACAACACCTTTCTATCTCAGCTGACTCTCTCATTCGCAAGTTGACCATCTCCCACTATTCTGTAAGTCTGTGCATATCCAAAAAGTAGACCACTATTGGCACACAAGACACCACGGGCCTTCATACGTCTATCTAATCTATCTACTTACTCAACAGCAGTCAGGGTAATACAGTAACACTTCAGCATACATACCAATCACATCATTATTCATTAAAAGACCACACGTATGCATCCATGGTCTCTTGCTCTAGAATGCTCTATAATGCTAGTGTTTCTGCACATTGACAGCACACGCGTATCTACGGCCGATTTTCTGATGGTACTACGATGCTGCTGTTTATGCATCGACCCGACTGCAAATACGAGGCAGTGCTGCACCACTTTCTATGTGTAGATCTGCCGATGAAGGTGCTTTTCTCAGAGCAATTGCTGTGGCTGGAGACGTTGGCAGCGTAGTCAGAATGTTTCCAATGGAGTAGCCATCACAGACTGCTACTCCATCGTACACGTCCGTGCACGAGGATGCTGTGCTCCTCGAATGAGATGTGCTTATAATATGTATATATATATATATATATATACTCTCCAGCTCTCTCACAACAATAAAAGTCAAATGTGATCTCAACCAAATGTCCGACCACAGACGGGATAGGTCCAGTATGCACAGCATCAGAAGCATACTCCGCAAACATCACTCATGGTAGTTTGTTAGAGGTTGTCCCGCACCCATGCACTGACACACAAAAATCTTTGTGTTCACCACACCAATCACGGAGTGTTGAACTTATGCCACTAGTGGATGCTACCATAGCAAAGATCCTTGCGTGAGCCAAAGCCACATGGAAGGCGTAATGGCACCACTCCGTCAGCATCCCACAGGTCAGGTTGCCTGTTCCTCGTGGCTGCAACATATCACAAGTTTGCTTCGCTCGCCTATCACTCGCATCGCGTGGGATCCCGCCTTCCCTTGTTCATGGCTGTCTCACAGGGAGAAAGCCCCACATTTGTTACAACATCAGCAGGTGTGGCGGAGCTGGGCACAGAAGTCTTATCGTGTCTAGGACGGAAGTTGCTGCACTTCGAGCAGCGCAGGATTGTTCTCTATGATGCGCACGAGGATGCTGTCAATGTAGGCATGCAACCGTCTGTTGATGTCCTCCTGCTCTTTCAACTTGTCTTGCAGCTGTGAGACAAAAAATCATAGTGAGACACAGAAAACCAACATTGCTTACAAAACTAGACTAGATCCAATGCACAGACATCCTGAAAACAGGACAATACATAGCAACACTAACCACATCGCTGAGAACATGATATATGCAAACAGGTATCTCTGCAAACAGGACAATACATGCCGACAATAAGCTTGCACATAGGAAGTGAATGATATATGCTAACACTATGCTTTTCCCTAAGAATAGAATAATATATGCTGATTAGGGTTGTAGCCAGGACAATTTTAGTGCCGGCTAACATCAGTGATTGTGGTATATGCATAAATTATTATAATGGGAACATGGTGCTTAGCCAGCTATACTGCATGTACTGTGCGCTGTATGATGTGATTAGATGATGAATTTACGCATAATTATTGTTGAGTTGTTTTTTAAATTAATTCTAAGTGTATCAGTTGTGATTATTTGTAGATTGCTCACTATTTTGAAGGTAATTTTACACAAACGCAATCATTTTTGTACCGGTCGGAAGGTTATTTAAATCTGTGTGCTGGTCAGCCAACACCAGACCACACCGACCGACGCCGACTGGCGGATACATGCTAACATTAATTACCTCGTCTCGAGATAGCTTGGCAAGCTCGGCTGCCAGCGACGGAGGGCTGGTGACACCAAGCAACTTGTGACCCTCCTCGAGGCCATGGTTGAGAAACTGCAGCTGTATGTCTTCATTGCTCTCCCTTAGGCTCTTGTTCTCCTGCGGAAATGACCCGTAAACGTCATCACGGGATAATAAATTAGAGATCGACGATGTGATCACCAATAATTACACTAAATTATTTCACAATCACGTGGATGAAGCTTACATTTTTCAGGTGCTTGACTTGAGCTTCAAGATCCATTATCCTCCTAGCTGCCTCCAGGTGGCTCCCTCTGAGCCCAGCCATCTTGGACGTGCGCAGTTCATCCAGTTCAGTTCTCATGTCTTCTACCAACTGCAGCAATGACGTACATGAAGTTGTAAATTTAACTAGAGATTATTACTAATTTACCGTGAGTCGTATAGACTGTCACACTACTATTTGGACATACAGGTTGGTATATATGGTTTGTACCTTGACATTCTTGTTAACATGGTCCCTAAATACCACGTAGTGGATTCCTTACAAATGAAAACAACAGAACACATTTTTCTGGTGCATCACTTTAAAGTGAAAGCTACACAAGTTGAAAACTATAATCCCTAGCAGTGTATACATGCACTCAATAGCATTTAACAAGTCATTCTTTTCTCAGAACAGATGGCACTGAAAAGAAATTTCCACACGAAACCCCGTCTTTTTCGCGACTAGCGCGTGCACACCTGCATGTGTGCCTGGTCGGATGCGTCGCGGTCACGTTGCTGCATGTGGCACCTCTCCTGCACGCGCTTGTGCTCCTCCTGCAAGTTGGATAGGTTGAACTCACACTCAGACAGCTGGTCGGCGAGCGTGTATTTCTCCTGCTTGACGCGGTCAAGCTGCTGGCGCAGCTGTGGCAAGCTGTCCTTCAGCTCACCATACTCATTCTCAAGGCTCTGTAACCTAGGCAACGAGTATAAGTGGTCAGCGACAATGAAAACAAGCGGTGAGCGATGACGCAAACGAGCGGTCAACGATGATACGAACGGGCAATCACCTATGACGTGAACGAGTGGTAAGCAGTAATTTGTCATTGGTACCAACCCTGGCGATCGTATTAAGGGTAGGATGGAGCGGTCTGCAACGGAAATAAATGCTGATGACTAAAAGACGTGATCAAACAAGATTACTCATCAGTAGTAACAACCCTGAGGATCGCGGAGGTGGTAGCTGTGCTCTCTTCGATAACAACATCTCGCAAAATCCTGTGGCAGAAAGGAAAAGAAGGGAGCAGCGTGAGGGAAGGGAATTGTACGAGGTTCTGGGGAGAGCGAAAGAGTCGTTGTGAATACGAATTTTTCCATGTATTAATTCGCGCCAGTTGTAGTTCGCGTGGTGCCGATAGCAAAAACGCGCGCAGAAATAATCTCCCCCTTGGTGGAGGGACACACTTTCTAATTGATATTATCAAGAGCGTATAAAGAAGGAGAGTGTACAACGGTGAAATGCTGAAACCATGTTGCAGTATTAGTCGAATTAAGAAACTTTGCCCGTTTTATTTTGACGATCTTTGCGGTATTATTGATCAGCTATCCTACCTTGCTAATATAAAACAAACCGCTTGTCCCTACGATGCTTCTACGCTGAGATAATGAGCGGTGAAAATCTGGTATTTTTGCTGAAAACCGACTCGATATCACTTTTTACTGCGACCCTCTCTCGCTTTGTGGCCAGTGTATAGCTTCCGGTTGCCGCTGTGCAGCGCCATGGTAGCGCTGACTCACGTTAGTACTATAGAGTTTACTATACATCCAGCATGAGGTGGGCACAGGTGGGGGTCATCACTATGGCAATCAATAACAGACGTCATTCATTCCATTTGTCAATCATTGACGGAAACACGCGAGGTTTCCCGAAGTTATCTCAAAGCGAGAGACAGTCGCAGTAAACAGTTATTTCGATTTCACCGCTCATTATCTCAGCGTAGGGGCATCGTAAGGACATGCGGTTTGTTTTATATTAACAAGGAAGGACAGCTGATCAATAATACTGCAAAGAATCATCAAAATAAAACGGGGAAAGTTTATTCATTCGACTAATACTGCAACATGGTTTCAGCATTTCACCGTTGTACGCTCTCCTTCTTTATACGCTCTTGATATTATCGGAGTGGCCGAGTGGCGAAAAGTTGAGAAAATAGAACATGTTCTAATCTCTCAACTAGTTGAGCACTCAACTTTTACGTTTACACTGCCGGCTTTCGGTCGATTAGTTGAAAAGTTAATCAACATCTCAACTTTTCAACAGAAAGTTGACAGTGTAAACCCAGCTTAAGATGCAGAGACATGGAGGAGTGTGTTATCACTGTGACCTTGTGACGGCCTGTTACTACTGCTGCGTATGCTGCCCGCGCTGCATACCTGTACTGCAGATTCTCAATCTCCTGGTTCTTCTCGCGCTCGATGCGGTGCACCTGGTCACGGAATCGACGCTCCTCCTCCGTGCACAGCTTCTCCCCCTTTATCTCGGCATCACGCACCTGCTCTTCCAGCATGTGCACCCTGGAGGGGAAGCCACAGCTTTAGCAGCACGAGGAAACACATCGTAGCACTGGTGCAATCCACGGAATCGTTATCAACAAGTTATAAGCAATCACTCGGATTTTGTGATCACCTGGCCATGACTGATTGACATGTTGTGGTCAGAGAAACCAACTACTAATGCTGTATGTCACATGGCAGAAGCCAGTCGTAAACAGGTAACGGTATGGTGGCGGCGGTGGTGGCGGCGGTTGTGGTGGTGGGTGGGTGGTTTGTGGGTGTGTGTGTGTGTGTGTGTGTGTGTCTGTGTGTGTGTGTGTGTGTGTGTGTGTGTGTGTG